TGAAATAATGAGTGAAAACTTATATTTTAATGAGGAATATATAGACATATGGAAAAACAGAAACAAAATTGGTGATGAGCTAAAGGGACAGTTCTTTCATTCAGAAGTGCTCTGCAGGCACAAGAGCCTTGTCCAGCAGGAGCCCATTGTTTGGCAGAGAGAAGGTGTATCAATAGATGAAGCTATAAAGTACTCAAGGGATCAATGTAGAAAAATCCACAGACTGTGAAAAGAGGAGACAAAGGAGGGAGTGATGAGGTCCCTCTGCATGGACCAGAAAAGGCTTCCGTATGTGTCATATGTGTTTTAAGTGACTCTGAGTTTTAAGTGACACAAACATCCCTCAAACTAGCCTGAGCAAAAGGAAGATTTATTAGTATAATTTAAGAAGTCCACGAATCCTTCTGACTTCACTCATGAGCAGATCTGGGCCCCGGTCAGGACCTTGTTTTCTCTGCTTTTAAACCCCACCTCTCCCTGCAGGTTGGCCTTGCTTTCTCTGACATACTGTGGATGCTTTCCTTCCATGAGGCTTGGGCAGCTTGCACTCAGGTGCTTGTCATCTCAGTGTAGCCCTAGTGGAAGGAAGGATGTCTCCCTTCCCATGTCCCTGTGCCTCTCCCTAGAAATAGCTCTCATTGATTGTACTGGAGTCTCTCAGCCACTCTGTGTCACTCACTTTTGCAGAGTGAAAGCAGCAGGATGGACTTAAGCTAGCTGATGTGCAAGCCCTGGTGGCACAGACGAGCTGAGGTCTATGTGATTAACCATGAGTGATATTTCCACAAGGTTTATAGTGAGCATAGATAAGTTCCCCCAAAGGAAGGAAGATCAGATGGATCAAAATTGACAGGTGGTCACTATAGCTTCACTGATATTTAAACTGTGCTGTCCATGATGGATTGCTTTTTGTCAAATGAAGCAATCAGAGATATTCATTACTGTTAGAGGAAGCAGTGAGGGTAAAACCATGAAGATGTCAATCAGTCTCCCAGGTCCAGACACTGCACATAGTTGTTGAAGTTGGAGCATACGGCTGAGGATCAGGGTTGAAGAAGAAGACAGGCAGTGAGGAGATGTTCTGGGTGCTAGGGGAGAGATGCTGTGTCCAGATTTCCATATTAGCACACTGCTCTGGGAGTGATACGGAGGCTGAGTTGGAGAAACCAAGGCTTGAGATCTGGAGACTAAAGAAACCACTGCAGTAATCCAGATGGAGATCAGATGCAAACAGTTAAGTTATTTGCAGTGTTAAAGGGCCTAATGTGGGCTACTCTACAAGTGCACGTGTGGAGATAAAGGAGAAACATTAAGGGAATGAGGAAGGATTTTAATGGGGAAGCAAAAACCTGTGGGAAATAGCAAGGAGGAGGCTCAGTGGGGCTTTGTCCTTCAGGATAGTGAGTGTTTAAGAAGACCTAGACATCTGATTTGAGCACTGCCATTTGCTAAGATGAAGGATACAGTAAAAGGAACCTTGTGAATGCAGGGCAGGGCGATGTCTGAGGTGGTGCCTGCACAGGCTGAGTTTGAAGGTGCAGCCCTGAAGGAGTGGCAGGTCAATACCTGGATCTGGAGTAATGAGAAGGAGTATCATAGTGGAGTTGAGAGTGAAGGGCTATGAGTTACTGGCTTTTTCCTGATAAAGGGAAGGAGAAATATGGGAAGCAGCAGGCTAGCCAGGGGGCGGAGCACAATTCAGACCTCAGCAGTCTAAGTAGGTGAGGTTCAAAGGCACTTACTGGGGCCCTATGCCAGCTTGATGTAATTTGACTCATACCTGACACCTAGGGCTGATTGCATACCGAGCCTCTTATCTAACCTGATTACTATGGAAGGGGACCCAGCTAGACCAAGAATGTGCAACAGCAGTTGGAGGAAAGTTCAGGGTGTTGGCCAATCAAAATATCAATGTGAACATGCTAATGCCTCTGCCTAGCTGTGTGTATTAGTATCTACGTGGTTCCTTTGAGGGGATTTGAACTTGGTGTAAACGAGCTCCACCTTGCCACTGTCTCACTGTTGCCCACGCCTGCACTCTTGTGATCTGTGGGGCTCAAAGCCAACATACTGCTTTTCCTCACTCCCTAGATACTCTTAGCTTTTCTGGTTCTTACACTTGTCCTTTCCTTTTCGCGTTGATTGGTGCAGCTCTAAGCTGGGGAGGGCTTGTTAGAGCACCTATTCTCACTGTGCGTAAGGTGAACATAGCATCGCCCTAAGACATTTAATGATCTTTTTAATCTAGAAGTCAAGAAATGATGACCCATGTGCCAGTCTGGCCCGCTACTTATGTTGGTCCATAAAGTTTTGTTAGAACACAGCCACGTCACCCATTCACACATTGTCTGGGGCTGCTTTTGAGTTACAGTGACAGCACTGACTGGTTGCCACAGACTGTGCTCCCACAAGACCTCAAATGTTTACTGATGTTTAACATGTTTACTTTTTTACAGAAAAGTGTCTCAGTCCCTATTAATCCTTTCTTTATATGAGTGCCAGAATGGCGTTCCTAAAATACTATCTCATCATATCATTTTTGTTAAGAACATCACAATGATGCTGCGCTGTCTCCACAATACAATCCAAATTTGCCAATCCAGCATTCAAGACCTTCAATACCAGGCTAGTCTTTGAATCATCCTAGTTAGTTCCCTCCTTAGTGTTCTTGGAATATGCAGTCCATGCCTACACTTGCTCTCCCACTTTCCTTTTCCTGGCATGATTTGCCATTAATCTATTCCTGCCTAAATCCTACCCATTCTTAAAGAGCTGATTTTGAAATTGCCCCCACCTTGCCCAATTAGTTTCCAGTGATCACAACTGCTTTAACACGGAATGAGCCTCTACAGAGCCCGTCTGGTCATGTTTCTTTCAATCAGGGAACGGTTCACCAATGTGATGATAGGAACTTTCTGTGTAATTGAAGGCAACGATGTGGGAAAGCCTAGGAAGGGTTTGGAAATAACAAGGCATGTGGTTAGAACACAAAGCACTCATTTAACATTTGTGGAAGGACTGACTCACCAGTATCTTGTACCCATGACATATTATATCTTGTTCCAATTTAAGTGGAGATCATCAGGGAGAGTGGATATGATCAAAATATATTTTATATGTTGAAGCTGAATAGTTTGTAACATTAATGGGCACTAACAAAATAACTATAAAATAAATTCCATACAGGTGCATACAGGTGTTCAGTGGGAATGAGTTCTCTTAGGTACCCCGTGACGCTCAGTAGCTTGTCCTCAGGTATCCCTGAGATGCTGGATGGGTGGGCTTTCCATACTGGCCCTTCTCTTTCCCATATAGTATCACATAGTACCTGTCCTTGGCATACTCTGGAATTAAATGGCATCAATTACGCATCCCTGGTTGGAGTCCTTTGGTAAATAGCAAGTTCCTAAAATGTTCACGAGTTTCATTTAGCCTAAATATTATCTTTTAATGATGCATATTATGAGCTAATATTTCTTGGAGTCTGTGCATTGCATAAAAAACTTTGGTTATAATACGAATGATTATTCCACTGATTTGGACCACAGTGGTGCAATCAGATCCCTGGAAATGTGGCGCTACATAAACCCAGAGCTTCTGTGAATGCCCAGCATGGCAATCAGGCTTCTGTGTCATTGTCTCCTGTGTTGGATGAAGCCATTATATCTTGGCTGACAAGGCTCTCCTTGTATCTGTGAGCAAAGGAGAATGATCCAGTCTTATACATAGTTCAATAAAATACTCTGGTATACCTTAAAAGCAAGGCATTAAAAGTAATCTATCAGGCCTGGCGAGATAGCTCAATGGACTAAGCACCTGCTTTGGCAAGCTCAGGGTCTGGGGTTCTATCTCTGGTCCCACATGCCACACTGGCCCTGCCCATGGGGTGTGCTGAGCCTGTGAACGAGTCCAAGTGTGGTGGCGCATGCCTGTAATTCCAGCACTGGGGAGGCTGAAAACAGGAGGATCACTAGGAGTGTGAGCTGCGTAGTGAGACCCTGTACCAAATACATAAATGAAAAAATAAAACAAAAGTAAGCTTTCAGAAAGGTAGGCCTTTCTCTTCTTATGAATCACATTCCTTGATGTCTATTGTCTGCATTAGAGAAGTGTGGGGGAAAAACACTATGAAGATTATAATGCAAAATGCCAGGAAAGTACAGCGCTTTGAATCCAATTCCTAGACAGTCCCTAAAAGGAGGCATGCAGCAGTGAGGACAGTAGTAACTGCCAGTGGCTGAGTGCTGATCGAGTACAGGGTGTTGTCATAGGCCCTTGGTGTGTGTCTCCTCCCTTAAGCCACATCTAAGTCATACGATTTGGATAGAGTTATTATCTCCACATTATGAGAAGACTGAGACCTAAGGAGGGGAAAGAACTTTCCAGAAGTTACACAGCCAGAAATTGATAGGGCTGGGAGTCAGATCCAGACTTTGCATTTCCTATAACCTCAGGGAGCACCGCCCGCACGAGATGCTTCTCTCAAGGCTCCTTTAAGCAAAGACCATCCCTCTCATTTGCATTGTCTGAGATGCCCAACTGGATGATTTCTCCCACCCAATTTGCAATTACATCTTATTACTTATGGATATGATTTTGACCAAAGAAATCTAACCCTGTCTTTTGAATTGAGACGTATTTATTCTTTGTCTCCAGATTAACACTGCAAGCACAGGAGGGGGGTGGGGGGAGTGTGTGTGTGTGTGTGTGTGTGTGGTGTATAAACCGCCTTTTCTTATGGATTAAATTGTGGCAGTCTGACTGAGAGAGGAGCATTTCTCCCACTGGCTGAGCCCCCCGCAGGCATGTTAGGGGGACACTGCTGCCTGCCACACACCCAGCGACGGTGGGGCAGGTGATGCTGCGGTGTGCCCAGCGTCTCTGGGAGGGACTGCACAGATGTGTGCCGCTTCTGCTTCTGCTGCCTGCCTTCACATTCCTGGAGCCAACACCCACCCACTCTGACAGACTCTCTTTCTCTCTCTCTCTCTATTTTCAAGGAAAAAAGAAAGAGGCAGACAGAAATAGAAGGCAAACGACAGCAGCTTGAGGAGCAGGTACTCCTGCTGCAGCATTCCAAGGTAAGAGGCTTATCCCACAGCCCATGCCATCATTAGCCATGCGGCTCACACTCCAGAGAGCTGGGCAGAGCCTGCCCTGCCGCCAAGGAGCCGTGCCGCCTGAACCAGCCCTTTTCATTCAACAGGGAACCATCTCTGGGCTTTGCTTATGAATTTCTCGGATCCAGGGCATCGTTACAGCATTCTGATTTCCGCAAGCATGAGATTACAGTGTGCAGTGTGCATGTGGACGGGTGCAGGGTGGTATGTGCGTGTGGAATGCGGTTATATATAGAAACTGGAAGAGAATTCTGCACACAGTCCAAAGCTGATTCTCCTGTGCATCGGCTCAGACGCTGCCCGAGACACATTTCATATAATGTACTTTTAACATCTAAAAAATATTAGTCTCTTTCTTGGCATAGAGGAAAGGAAGATAAAAGTGTAACCTGACTTTTAAAAAAGACATTGTGTATTTCAGTAATTCATGTATTTTATTTCTACTTTAACAATTTTGGAAGAGTTAGAAGCAGCAATTGGTCAAAGGTGGCTTTTAAAGGATTTGACTTGGATCTGCACTGCACCGAATTAAAGAGAGGGAGGGAGAGAGCTCTTTTACTTTTTTTTTTTTTTTTTTTTTTTTTTTAAGACATAATGCACTTAAGCATTGTAATTGATTGCAGCCCAGGAGAGAGCTCTGTCACTGTCACACCGACTGCACTGGTTGTTGACTGTTGCTTTCTGCATGTTCAGAGAATAATGTGACCACATTCCGTGGCCAGCTGGGAGTTGCTGCTTGCCTCAGCCAGCCCCTGGGCTTCCTTTTTAGGAAGGCTGTCTGCTGCCTGCCTTGAGTTTCTGTGACCTTGGGTGTTCAGAATCGCTTTGCTCAGAGGGCTGGTGAGGAGAGTGGTGCTGCTCTCAGGGCAACGCTCCGTATGGATTATCCGGACTTTTACAAACAAGATAAACCTTCATGGTTGTGTTTCCTATTTGCCTCGAGAGAACAGGACGGTGCTAAGTGAATGCTCTAAATGAGAATCAGGGGCAAGCTATTTCCTGATTCCAAAGAGCACCATGACCTATATCTGCTTAGGTTTCTTATCCATTTACCATGAACTTTAACTAGAGAAATGTGCTCAAAAGGAAGAAAAGCAGCTTGCCACTGAGAATAGCATCCATCTCTCTCTTTTCATCACATAAATCTGTTTTCAGACCTTCCTTTGTGGAAGCCTGTGCTGTATCCCATATGCTCCTGCTCCTTCCTGACAACATTCCTGAGGGAGGACTGACGCTAAAATTAGCAACCTTTTCGTAAAGACAGGAAGAGGATAACAACAGTAATAAAACTGAATGGAATGTTCAAGGTCAATCTGGACAGAGCAGGGTCTGGCTCAGAGCGCAGTTGGTTTGCTCTTGTGACAGACCAGCATGCACTAATACCTCAGTAAATTATTGGATAAAAGGTGAACTTTTTAACAGGAGAACTGAATGGATAGGAGAGGCTGGCTTTCGTTAGACAACATCTCTCCTCCTCAAGCTCAGGGTCGTTCTCTGCTTTTGTTTTCCTTGAATCTAAAGTTAGTCAATGAACCTATATCAGAAAACCAAGTGCTTTCTCTCCCAACTCTCAGCATTTTGGGTGCCAAGTAAAATACCTGGATTCATTCATGACTGATGCCCAGCAGAGAGAGTGTTGCAACAACCTATCCATAGCCCATTTATCCATTTTTCATCTGTGCATCTATTCATCCATCCATGCATCCATCCATCCATCTACCCATCTCTCCACCCATCTACCCAGCCAGCCAGCCAGTCAGCAGAAGAAATAATAAAAATAACACAGCTTTACATAAGAAAGCCATGATGCTCTTTCAAGGACTTAGAAACAAGGTTGTCTGAATTCTTTCTGAAATTGGCTAAGACTGTGTCTAACACCATCACCGAGGGAATCCTGTTGTGTCTGGGGCAGGGAGGACTGGAAATCATTATAATTTAGTAAGCAGAGACCAGTGCATTACTTTTTCCTCTCTCTGGGAAAGGCTTGTGTGGGCAGAATGCACATAGATTGTTAGTCTTGAACAATAAAAAATCTCAGAGGCGCCGAAGGCAGAAGTGTGTAGCTGGTGCCCCTGGAGAGAAGACCGCTGGCTCTGGGTGTCTGTGCTGTGGAGTCAGGGCTGGCAGACGAGGAGGGAGATCACCAGGCCTCCCCATGGCCCAGACAAAACTTCTCTCATGGTTTTGCCTCTTTTTGTCCTGAGCACAAAGTCCCTAAAATAACATTATTTTGATACTAAAAACAGGGTGCCTGATTAAGAGATACTATCACTCCAGGTACCTGAAAGGAATATGTTTCCAGGGAGAATTCAGTTTCTGGCATGGCCTTCCCTCAGGAAGGAAGTCAGTTCACTGGGGCGATATTGCCTGCTCTTGTGAGCAGCCTCAGGATCTTCTTGTCCACTCCCAGTAACGCTCACCAGTTTCCTTGCCCAACATGTGCTGGTTCTTGGAGTGTGCACCCCGCATAGTGACCACGATGGGTCTTCCTCTTCTTCCTGTCTCACAGGAATGGGCACAAGTTCTTGAGATCAAGTATTTGGCTCCTGGCAGTGGGGCCGCCCAGGGGGAACCTCAGGGCTACCTGCTTGCAAAGGCCAGACTTTTCCCAAGATGCTGTTCTCACTCAAGGAAATACTTCCTTTTGAATAGTTTGTCTAGAAAGATGCCAACTGCCACAATCACTGTCTTTCTTACCCTTACTATATTTTCAGAAAATTTAGACCAGGCAGACTTGTCACTGAAATTATTGTAGAAAATACTAGCACATATGTCACTAATTAATATTACTTCACTAACTTACACAATCCAAGATGCTTTCATAGTAAGAGAAATGGAAAATCATTAGAGTGCTGGATTTTATATTTAATATTTAATATTCTCATACTCTGAAACTATGTTCTATATGTATCTCTCACCTACAACAATTATATGCTTATCCCCAATTAAATGATTGTCAATTATATAAATGCAGGGAGATATGAATTATTTAGATAGATTCTCTGGCCCCATTTCAAAGCAAATAAATAGAACACAAGGCACAATTTTGACATTTCTATTTTAGCACTCTGGCAACTGCAAAGCTTAGAAGCATATAGTAACTCTACAGGATGGAATATTATTACCTTAAATATGGGTCGCTATGAGCATGCTCTTCAATAAAGAACCAAAGTATGAAAGGTTAAAATGGTTAATCATTTACAAGGTTACAAATACTAGGCCAGGGAGATAGCTCAGCAGTCTAAAGAACCTGGTTAGACAACCGAGGCAGGCACAGGGGACTGAGGGTCCATTCCCCGGGCCTGAATGACGCACCAGCCCCGCCCTCAGAGCAGCCTGCAACGCCACCCCCCAAACAGTCACTGAATTCAGATTATCCATAGCATTCCACATATGATAAAAAGGTTAAAAATAGTGAAGGTTAAAATATTAGCTTCTGTACCCCAGTAATGAAGAAACCTTAAGATATATTAGTTCCTGACCAAATTAAAGTCAGATTTCTTTTTAGAAGATGCTTAGCTGTATTTAGTAGCTAATATTCTTTATGTAAGAATTCCTAAGACATATTCACAAAATGGAACCAATAAGTTTTTGTTTTGTTTTGTTTTGTTTTTTTTGGTATTTTTAGGAAAGGGTCTACAGGGTGTTCAGGGTCTCACTACTAAATCGGACTTGTAGTGATCTGCCTGTTTACAGCCTCCCAGGAACTGGGATTACAGGCGCGTGCCACCATGCCCAGTCCCAATGGCCATCTCAGCGCGCCCCGGGGGTGGGGCCAGCATGGCCAGCCAGGGGATCAAACCACGGCCCTGCGCCTGCTTGTAGGTGCTTTAATCTGCTGAGTTATTTGGTTGGCCCTCCAATAAGCATTTTTGTCATTTCGCTTATTATAAAAGTAAGGTCATGGGAATACCTAGACTTAAAAGTGCAAGACATGTGAAGAAAAAAATATCAACTTCATCCAAATGTGACTTGCGCAGGAGTATAGATTTCTGTGTTGTCCCCTCAGTATGTTGCTTTAGATTAAGCTATTTAGCCCTTGTTTTACAGGCCTCATCAGCCTGCAGATAAAATAAAACTCCATTTCCTTTAACTTTGTTTGTGGGCTCTTTTAACATCTCATAAAAAAGTATAATTTTTATGGAATCCTATGTAGCAGCATTTTACTTTTTGATTCTCGCCTTTCATGTTGATAAGTTCTGGCCCTAGTATAAATTGCTGAATCATCATGGTGGTCGTCTAATAGGGCTGAAGCCTTTAAAACAAAAGCCCGTCTTCCCCAAGACCACCTCCCCCTTCTTCTCCAACTCAGCCCAGGGTACAGTTTCCTTTCACCCTTCCCACCACCTCAGGGAAGACCCCCAATCAGCTCCTCAGGTATATCTAAGCATCCCCTCCCATCTCCACCCCTGGTCAAAGGCCATGAAAGCCTCAGCCTCCCTTTAGTTCCAATCGAGGGAATTCTTCATCCTTCCCCACATTCTCTCTGTGTCCTCCAAGATAATAAAGCCCCTTTCCCTTTTTCCTTCTGCCTGTTTCTCTGCCATGCTGGACACCTGAAAAAAACCTATCACATGTCACCCTCAGAAAGCTTTCCATCTCAAACATATACTTCTATTTCTGTAGTTTTCTGTTTTGTTTTTGACACAAGGTCTGGGTATGTAGTTCAGGCTGGCCTTGAACTCACTTTGTAGCCTAGATTGGCTTCTAATTCGCAGTGATCTTCCTGCCTCAACTTCCAGAGGGCTGGGATTACAGGCATGCATCCTCATGCAGGGAAACTTCAATGGTTTTAATCCATCTAGAATTTGTTTTCCTATGACGGGTGTTTTCTTCATATTGACCCACTTGTCTCAATGTGATTTATTGATTAATTCATCATTTCCCTCACTGATTCATCTTTATCACATACACATTTCTCTTGTATTCTCAAATCTACTATTTGTGGATTCTTCCTGACCCAGTACCATTCTTGTTTAATCCCTTTCGCTTTATAATTTATAATTTCATAAGGCAAGAGCCATCATTATTTTTTTGAAAGACTATCTTAGCTTTTGTCCATAGAAACAATTATTTATTTTTATTGTTTTTATAGTATGACGTGATAATGTGAGTTTTAAGAAAATAAATCAATGACCATCTTATACTGGAACAGACTGAATATAATATTTCCTTTTGCCCCTTGTTGATTTGTCTGTTTTATTGGTCTGTTCAAAGTCCCAGCACAGAGTCTGCGCTCTGTATGAGTTGCAACATGTGTTCCTTTGGGACTGCCACTTTCATAAAGGTCTGTCTGACACAGTCAGCCCTGTCGGAGTCAAACCACTAATATCACAGCTTCAGCGCATTTGCTGCCTTTGGATTACTTATTCATGAGCCGGGGAGCCTGACTTTTCTCCCAATGCAAGCTATGAAAATTGTAGTTATATTTTAAAGAGATGGCTGAGGGGAAAAAAGATTGACTGCACTGTGACCTGGAAAAATATTTATTGTCAACTCAACTCACCAAAGTCTGTGCTGAACAGCCCAAGGGTATCAGGCACCTTGCTACAAAGACATTAACAGCGTCTTTCACCATTTCGCCATTTCTTTTTTTAATTCTTTGGTGCTGAGGACTGAACCCAGGGCCTCCTATGTGGTAGACAAGCATTCTACAGCTGAGCCAAACCCTCAGCCCCTCGTTCACCTCTAGGACTAATTTCAGACTTTTCTTGGTTATTGGTATATGTGAATGGCCAATTTTATTTATTTATTTATTTTAATTTTTATTTTTCCATAATTTTATTGAGAAACAAATAA